GGCTTCGGCGCTGGTGTGCTCTGCCTGCCACCGCGCGAGCCCCCCGGGCGGCCGGACCCCCGGGAGTGCGGGCCAGCGTCGGCCCGTCACACCCACTAAGAAATGAGGCACGTTATTTATGTCAAGTCAGGCCTACATAAGGTAGTCTCTTTCATTATTGAGGACTTATTCCATTATTTTTTTGCATCCTGACTGGTACGCTAAGGGGTTTGTGGTTCAAGATTATTCAGAATTAATATTCTCTGCATTGGGAATAATCAGGACATGAAAGAAGTTCAATGGTTCTGCAAGATCTCAGTATGGACATTGCAGTGGATGGATTATGTGTTCTTTCAGGATGTTCAGAAAAATCTAAATCCATGACGCTCAAGAGTCAACCTGTTTCCAGTAGTTTGAAATTCCCACATTTTTCTTCTCTTATAGTATGTCAGTGATTGTTATCAATTTTCTGCTGTCTCACTAGCAGGTTTGAAAGAGGCATCAGGAAGCCAGATGTCAAATAGATGAACAGCACATTAAGCAATCCATGAAAACAGATGAGTAGGGAATTATGCAAATGTAAGAGAGGAATACATGTATTTCAAGATGCCATCTGGTAGTTTCCTCACATAAAACATTTATTATGGTGATAGCTGATATAAAAATGCTTAAATAATCATTAAGGCAGGAATATTTTTTCAAGCAACAATGCATTTATTTGGCACTTATGGCTCATTGATTACCATCGGTAACCACACACAGAATTAAGAGTGCATAATGCTATTTGGTGAATTTGAAATGGTGGGCACTGCACAGAAAAAGCCTTGATCACTGTGGTTTGCTCCACACTGAGAGAAGTAAGCCTTCCTGGCCAATCAGAAGTGAAAATTTAATGTGGACCCTGCTACTGTCTACTATAAACATCACCTCAAAATCTAAAGGGCAGGCTTCCTTCTTCAGGAGAGAACTTCTGTCTGTTTCTCAAGATGTCTTCTACCATTTATTAGTCCAGTCTCTCTGTGTTGTGACATGATGTGCAAATCCACAGCATCTTATGGCTTGTCAGGCATCTCCTGAAGAAAGAGAGTTGAGGGAAAAGTTTGGATTATTGTTGTGTTGTACCTTTCCTGTTGTATTTTGTCTCTGAAGCCCAAAGAGAGCTGGGGAGGAAGAAGCCCATGGAAGAAGCTGGAGATATGAAGAAGGAGACCTTATATGCTGCTTCAGGGCCCTTGACTGGAAACTGGGATAGAGGGAGAGACTGAGTTCCCCTACAAACCATTAAGGAAAGACCCTTGGGATGAGCATCAGAAGTCCTAGTGACCCTAGAGTCAGGCTGATGGCCTAGTACAAGGTAACTGAACTATTATGAGGGTGAACTATCACTCCAAAAGGGTGAGACTTAAAGGGCATGTCTAGACTACATGGCTCTGTTGACGGAGCCATGCAGATTTGTTTTCTCGGCAAAGGGAAATGAAGCAGCGATTTAAATAATCGCCGCTTCATTTAAATTAAAATGGCTGCCGCACTATGCTGATCAGCTGTTTGTTGGCACAGCGCTGTAGTCTGGACACTCCGTGGTCGACCTCAAAGGCATTTGTCGATCTCCCCAGTAAACCTCATCTCATGAGCCATAACGGGGAGGTCAACAAATGCCTTTGATGTCAACCGCAGAGCATCCAGACTACAGCGCTGTGCCACCAAACAGCTGATCAGCACAGTGCGGCAGCCATTTCAATTTAAATGAAGCGGCAATTATTTAAATCACCACTTCATTTCCCTTTGCCTACAACCCTAATCTACATGGCTCCGTCAACGGAGTCGTGTAGTCTAGACATGCCCAAAGTGACATAGATGGATGGGCAGGCCCACCAATAGGAGGAGTAAAGGGCAATTGCCCCAAAACCCAGAGATTCAAAGGGGCCTGGGTTCCCAGTTGCTGCTGCTGCTGCTACTATGGCAGCGGTAGCAGCTGAAACTCTAGTCCCCTTTGAGTCACTGCGGGAGCAATGTTCTGCCACTCCTCATGACTCTGAGGGCTGGAGGGGCTTCCACCATTATCCAGGTGGCGCTGAGGGCTGGCTGCCCCAGCTCCTTTGGCCTGAGGTTCCACTCCTTTCGGGGGCATGGAGCCGCCTTCACCCTGCATACCTTGGCTGGTAACTCATTTTCCCTCTTGAGGTTGCTGCTTTTTGACAGCTAAGGACATTTAAAAAGAAAGGGATGAGAGTCTCAGAATTGACTCGTGATAGCTTTCAACCAAGAGCCACACAATAATCGGGTAATCTATAAGGAGATGGAAAAATTACATGGGTTTACAAGAAATGCATACACAACTTGCTAACAATTTAAGATGTGATAAATTAAGATGAATGACTTTACAAGATACATGAATGAAGTTCAACCCAAAAATGTTCCTCAATGAATATAAACAAATGTTTGACAGAATGCAGGAGATGTCCTGTCACATTGAACAAGAAGATGGATTGTTTTCCTAGTAAATTGCAGAGAGTGGATTACCCAGTGGCATTCCCATAAATATTGAATTTGGGTGCTTAGGCATTAATTGCAGACATGACAGATAAATGACAGTAAATTTTTCTGATTCTGAGATATAAAGCTTAAAAAGAGAGCTAGAGCTAGAATTTGTTCTGACTAGCTGGAATGCTCCGAATTTTCAATCTTCAGTCTCATTGTGGCTCACTCTTGGTGTCAGCTAAACTACACAGTGCTGATTCTAACTCATTTCAGATAACAGAATTATCTAAGTAAGCATCTGCACCCCAAATTGACTATTGCGTTGAGATGGCATGTGACTGTGAAATAGATTCAGGAGAGAAAGAACTGGGAGTAGCCAGCTTGCTGTTACAAAATGTCAAGGTCAATTTGTACACAGATCAGACCCTTTTCCCCTTCTCCCTCATATAAGAATATGGAGTGGCAGTTTTGTAATGCCATGCTTTCTGTCATGAGGATCTCGGTCCATTGAAAACCCAAAGGAAACCAACCCCTTTTTTCTGGACAAAAAGTCAATGTACAGGGAGTGATGGCAACACCTTGATTGTGTGATTCAGAATATGAATGTTTAGCATTTCAGTTGATGAGTGTAAGCCTACAAATGAAGAAACAAATGACCTTTCTGCTCAAAATATCTTAATTTGGGCCATAACTGGGGAATTCTGATTTAAAAGGTCACACACTTTGAACATATTTACCAAAGATGCTTCTGTGTCTTTGGGTATCTAGTATAAAATAGCTGTCTTTGGGTACGTCTAGACTACAGGCTTTTGTCAACAGAGGCTTTGTCGACAGATACTGTTGACAAAGCTTCTGTCGACAAAGAGCGTCTAGACTAAATCCAGTTCTGTCGACAAAGCAAACCGCTTTGTCGACATGAGAGTGCAGCTGCAAAGGACGGTGTAGATGCAATAACGCCTTCTGTCAACAGAACTCTGTCGACAAAAGGCATTATTCCTTGTAGAATGAAGTTTACCGCCATCGACAGAACTCGGTGGTAGTGTAGACGCAGGTATAATTTTGTTGACAAAAGTCCACTTTTGTCAACAAAACTCTGTAGTCTAGACACACTTTTGTTTCACATCTCTTAATTCTTCCATACAAGCTATTGAGCAAGAAAGGAGGGAGCATCTTCCTGAATGTCTTTCTTCATCTCTCTGTTGTACGTCATTGTCTTCAGAAGATGACTAGATGAGTGTGGATGAGGTACCTGAAATACACTAAACAGGACAAGCACAACAAGGCACATCCCTCACTGATGTATGGATTCAGAGACATGTTCTTCAAAAAGAAGGAACAAAGAATGAAAATTAAGGGATGAATGCTGATGAAGATTCATAACAATGTTTCTGTTTTAAAGAACAGAGTTGCTAACGACAAAAACCACATTTGCTGTTCCCTAGATAAGAAATGCTGAAAATACAGAACCTTTCAAAAAGGAAGAACTCAAATATGAATGCACATTTGGACTTTTGCATTTTAAGTAAGAATCCCCGCCTACCCCCCCCCTCTCTCTCACACACACACACACACACACACACACACACACACACACACACACACACACACAAGAATGTATAGTTTTTTTAGAACTAGTTGCTGTTAAAGAAACAACTTAGTCTATCCAGTAGGGATTGTAGTAAGAAAAGGGGTATGTTAGGCTTTTGATTTGGGTAGCTGAGATTTGAGTGAAAGGGTCAGTCTTTGCTATCTTTTCTTCCCCTGACTAATAAATGTCCCTGTCACTACTACAATTTCTGCTTCTTCAACAGGAGAAAACCCATTCTTCCACAAAGGCTAACAAGTAGGACAGTGGAAAGCACCTTGTGTCCTGACAGACAACACAAAGTTTCTCTGGAACCCCAACGTTTGTTGGTGTTCTTTAATTGATCCAAATTAGGCGGTTCATCATCTACAAACTTCATAGCTTTTAAGAGTCATAGTTCCACTTAAGAACTGAGTAAGGAAGAACATGGTTGATTGAATTATGTGTGAAATGCTAGAAAATAATTTGTACTTAGTAATCAAAAAATTCCTCTTGCTGGTTTCAGTGTTGTGCTTCACTGGATATAGTAATAGTGTTTTTCAGGTCTTTTCAGCTTTAATATCCTCTTCTTATAGAGGGTCATAGAAGAGTAATTATGACACTTTTTCTTTAAGAATGTGATTTTATTAATTGTGATTCCAGTATGAACAAGAGAGTTTTAAAAACTATTGTTCTATTTTTGGCATGTGGGGGGAGGAGAACAGACTTGTTACTCCAGATAAATACATTTAATAAGGCTATGTCTAGACTACAGAGTTTTTTCAAAAATACTTCACCTGCATCTAGACTGCCATTGTGTTCTTTCGAAATTAAATAAAAAGAACGTGGCGTTTTTTTCGACAGTGGTAAACCTCATTTTATGAGGAAGAATGCCTTTTTTTTGAAAGAGCTCATTTGAAAAAAGGCATTCTTGAATGCAAAAAGGGCTTTTTCAAAAGAGAGCATCCAGATTGCATGGATGCTTTCTTTTGAAAAAGCAATCTTGTGGATGGCTAGACAATCTCTTTTGAAAGAGGCTTTTTCGAAAGAGGTTTGTAGTCTAGACGTACCCTTAGTTATTCTCCCAACTTTAAACAGCTCTAAGTGTTTGACTCACCTGCCAAGAAGAGTTGTTTCTCAGTCTGGGTTTTGAGTCAGTAATGTACTGAAACATTTGCCTAATTTTAAGCACATGAGTACTCCAGTGGAAGTCAATGGGAATTACAATGGGAACAATGCTTAAAGTTAGTTATGGGCTTAAATATTCTGTTTTATCAGGGCCTGAAAAGTTAGCTTCATTTCATCATGTTAATGACCTTCTCTTCTTTCTTTAAAAAATGTTCATGTGAATTTAGTGATTATGAACTAATTAAGGATGAAGACTTTCATTTCTCCACACAAGGGCAACTGTAGTATAATTTACTTCACATTCCCCACGGCTGTGCCTCACCTTTAGCCTGTAGTCACTACTTTTAGTACTAAAGGTATAATTAAATCTCCATGCCTATCCAATCCTCTTGTTTCTTTGGTAAGACTACCATTAAAAATATGCATTAATGACAAAAATGTGGTGCTTTGGTTGGTTGGTCTGATATGACAAGGACACTTTTTCCTGGTGTGAGACCATTATACTCAAGCATATTAAACTTACTAGCAACTCAAACTGGATTTTAATCAGAAATAGTATGTAAAAGGTAATATATCTCAATTATATTTAAATGGCCCCACAACTGTTTCACAGATAACTACATTCCATTCAACAAAAGCTATATCTTTTGTTTACACATGATGTTAGGGTCAAATAAAGGATTGTTAAAAGAATATATGAGTGGACAAATTGGCTGGCAACCCATGCGTGTCCAAGTTCAGTTCCAAGCACAGTCTCCTATATTACAGGGTCAGCAATGGTTAGGAGCCTTGGAAACCCATATTGTCCTATCTTAATGTGATGTGCTTGCCTTGAGTCATAGCCATGTGAAGGTTTAAGAAGAAAGATTGAAAAGGAAGAATTCCAGAACACCACCAAAAGTACTTCATCAATAGCAGAAAAATGTTTTAATGAGAAAATACACTCATACACAGAGAACATAATTTTGAACTTTGTAGAAGTATTTTATTTGAGCTAGAGCGGATTCTGTCTTCCAATTGTTTCCATAGTGAGTAGACTACTCACAAAAGAAAGATTCATCTCAATATGAGAATGAGTAGCAGAATGTGGCCTGCGGTGTAGGCAAAAAGTAATTAATTCAAATCTTTGCTAGTAAAGCTACAAGGGAAAGCAATGAAATTCAGAATAACTTGCAATTAATCTCTGACCGAGAGAAATGTACATTCTATTTGTTAGGGTTAAATGTAATCAAATCATATTTGTACCTCCAGCATTAGTTAAGTAAAACATGTTTCAATAAAATTGAATATCAAGTCCTATAATTACTGAGATAACAGCAATTTCTTTGCCTATTTCAGTGAAGAACCACAAGAACATACGAATGGCCACACTGGGTCAGACCAATGGTCCACCTAGCTCTGTATTCTCTCTCTGACAGCAGGCAATTCCAGATGCTTCTGGTAGTCGGAAGTTTGGGGATATCCTGCACATGAATGTGCATCCCTTACTGTCTTGGTTAATACTCATTGTTGGGCCTATCCTTTTTTAGCATATTTAATTCTTTTTTGAACCTACTTATGCTTTTGGACTTCAAAACATCCCCCATCAAGGGATTTAACAGGTTGACTACATACACTGTGAAAAAATAAAATTCCTTATATTTGTTTTAATCCTATTGCCTGTTCATTTAAACAGGTGATGCCTAGTTCTTATGTTATGTAAAGGGGTAAATAACACTTCCCTGTTCACTTTCTCCACAGTATTCATGATTTCATAGATCTCTATCTTATCACCTTAGTCATCTCTCTTCTAAGCTAAAACATTCAAGCCTTTTACATCTTTCCTCATGTGGAAGCTGTTCAATCTCCCTCAACATTTTCACTGCACCTTTGCCAAGTATAATATATATTTTCGGTGATGTGGCAGCCACAAATGCTCACTTTATTCAAAGTGTGGGCATGCCATGAATTTATATAGGCATTGTGATATTTTCTGTTTTGTGTCTATCTCTTTTCTATGATTCCTAACACTGTATTAGCTTTTATGATGCCATTGTACACTGAGCAGATGCTTTCAGAGAACTGTCCACAGTCACTCCAAGACTTCTTTCTTGAGTGGCATCAGCTAATTTAGATCCCATCATTTTGTACATACAGTTGGTATTACTTTTTCCAGTGTGCATTACCTTGCACTTATCGGCATTGAATTTCATATGCCATTGTTGCCCAGTCACATAGTTTAGTGAGATCTTCCTGTAACACTTCCTGTAACACTGTCCGCTTTGGACTTATCTTATGTAATTTGGAATTGTTTGCGAATTTTGCCACCTCACTGTTCATCCCCTTTTCTAGATTATTTATGAACATGTTGAACAGCCAGAACAGATAGATCTTTGGGGAATCCTACTATTTACCACTCTCCATCTTAAAAACTGATCATTTACGATCCTATGCTTTCTCTCATACTGTATTATTTGAACAGTTAATGATCCTTAAGAGATCTTCAGTTTTATCCCATGTGTGCCTTTGGTGAGGGATCTTGGCAAAGGTTTCCTGAAAGTCCAAGAATACTGTATTGATTGGATCACTCTCTTATGCACATATTTGTTGACTTCCTCAAAAAATTCGAATGGATTTTCTCTTTACAAAACTCTGTTGATTTTCCCGCATCTCATTGTGTTCATTTATAGATCTGGCAATTTTGTTCTTTACTATAGTTTTAACTCATTTGCCTGAAGTTAGACTTACTGGGATGTAATTGCAGAATAGCCTCTGGAACCTTTTAACAAATAATTGTTTGTGACTCTGGGGACCCCAGTATGGACATCCCATTGCTGCAACCATATTAGTAATTGGAAAACTAATAATTCACTGGTTTTAATGCCATTGTAAAATTCATGTGTGGATGTGATATGTGAAGTTAGGAATTTCCTCTGTATGATGTTATTGTTTAAAACCCAGACTGCTTTCTCAAGGTTAAACAAGTCTGTCTTAGACAAAGGACTGTGCGTTTACCTCAATTTACACGTTAGCAGTGCACAAAGCGAGGACTATCCTGTTACTGAGCTGGAGAATTAACATGGCTCCTGAACCCCAGAGAAACACAAGAGACTGAATCCTCAGGAGGCCTTCCTGCCTTGCAAGACCAATACTGTCCCTTTGGGGAGTATAAGAATCAGAGAGGGACCCCAGCTCTATCTTTCACCTTAGGAGATGGGGAAGTAAAATATTTTGATCTCTGTGATAGGTTCTGGCCAATAAAAATCTGGAAAGGAGACTGGAGGAGAGAGAGAAATTTGAACAAAGACTGTGCCTTGCTAGATTAAGTTTTATATTTTAGATAAATCTTTTCACATTTATTTGCTTGTAACCATTTCTACCTTTATCTCTTTTACTAAATATCATTTAATCCTTGCTCTTTTGTTAATTAACTGTTTCAACTTTTACTATAAATCTATTGAGTGCTGGATGTCAAGGGGGTGATGTGTCCACCCCTGTTATATTAATAAGCTGTGATGTATTGGGGCCTTAACAAAATAGTGAATTTAATATCTTCTGGGAATACACAGTGGTATGGCCAGCCAATGCATTGCAGAGAAACATGTCTGATACTTACCTATAAGGTGAGGTTTGGTCTGGAAGAGTGGGGAGTAGTTTGCTGGTGATGATGATAGACTGGTGTGGCACAGATCTGACACAGAGTCTAATCACCAGTGAAACTCATTCTTGCTGAGGGAGAGAGGTCACACAATGGCTGACAGCTCTGGTTATAGTATTACATTACCCCCAACAGCATGTTATAGTATTACATTGCTACAGGTCCACCAACAGGAGGAGGGCAAAGGGGACTCAGGGCTCCTGGCTGCCACTGCTGCTACTGAGGCAGAAAGGAGGAACCAGAGCCCCAGCCCTTTAAATCCCTGGCAGAGTGTGGCACCACACACTCCACACAGCTCTGAAGGCAGGGTGGGGCAGCAGTGCTGTGCTCCCAGTGGAGCTCAGGGCTGGCTGCCCCAGACTTCCACCTGAGAGCTGCTCCCCTTGCCCAGGGACCCACAGTGACTGTCAGCTCTGCTGCATTGCTACCTTCCAGTCATCTGGTACAAAGATTGCCTGGAGCAATAGATTAGCAGTTCTGCAATTTCATACTTGAGTTCCTTCAGAACTCTTGGGTGAACACCATACGGTCATGGTGACTTACTAGTGCTTTATTTATCCATTTGTTCCAAAATCTCCTCTATTGACACCCCATCTGTGACAGTTCCTTAGATCTATCACCTAAAAAAGAATGGATTGGGTCTGGGGATCTTCCCCACATCCTCTGTTGTGAAGACCAATGCATATAATTCATTTTGCTTCTCTGCAATGG